ACTGTTTTCCTTGTTTTTGGTATGTTTGAAGATTTCCATAAGAAAAAAAATCTTTAAAGAAGAAAAGTGTTAATAACAGATTCCTAGGCTTTAAAGTGACCTCTAGGCTTTATCTTATCTTGCCAAGTCCATCATCTTTCCTGGTTCTGCTGGTGATGCTTCCCATTAGATATAGTTTTATAAGCATTTTGAAATGAGAAATGTGATAGACAAATATCAAGGATTATTAATGATTTGTACAATTATCATTGGAGTCACTGCAGTCGATAGAGAGCTGCTTCTGTACACTCTCTTGGCAGGAAGGGAGGAGATCAAAAGAAGGTCTCCCTTCAAGGATCCTGACTTTGCTGGCCATCCCTGTCACAGGAAAAAAGCCGTTAGGAGTCAGGAGTACCAAAGACCCCTGCTTTGCTGGATCCATGTCTCATGTAGCAGTACCAATCTGCACCTGCTCAGTGTCACTGCTGCTGATTGATTTGTCCAGGGAGCTTGAGAACATGTGTTGGTAATGGAAATATTGTTTCCTCTAATAACTGAAGACTTTCCCATGTGTGGTTGAGGAAACATTTCTGGTAGAGATGAGAGATTGAACAAGGAAGCATGCAGTGTTAAAGATGACAGAACCTTAAAGTTATCATTGCCTAGTCCTCTCACTCACCAGTTTGTTTTAGATAATTTCTTTAGAGTTTGGCAAGGTTTGCAGGCCCTTGTCTAAAAATGTTGTCTGCTGCTCAGTTGCTTCTGCAGGGCACACTGTGGTGATAAAGGCCAGCTTTTTTTCTCTCCCAGCCTGGAGTTCTCTTGAGTTTGTTTCTGGTCTTCAGAGTCCATGTCCAACAGTCTGGAGGCCTAGAGAGTCACTTTTAGCCTAAGGTCTCTTAATTAATAAGGGTAAATCCTGCCCTGGAATCTGCCATTTTCCCAGAAAGATTGGCAGTGAGGGTGTCCATCTCTTGCTTAGAAGCCAGACCTCACAATGGTTTCCAATGGGGCAGTCCCATCAAATACCTGATAATTCGAAATCACTACTTTTCCAGATTCTGAATGACTCAGTCTTAATTCAGTCTTAAATAAACAATGTGCTAGAGTTTTGCTTTGGCCAGTTTAAGTATCTTTTTACAATTTTCTTTCCTGACTGAGAGGACAATGATGCCACCATATCCTTCCTTGGAGTGACAGACGCTCAAGCAAAGAGCTCACTTGTCATGGCCTTAGCTTTACTTTTGCAAAGAACAGTCCACCAGGAAGATGAATACAAGTTTCCACACTGTGCAAAATCAACCGAGATAGATAGATTTTCCTGCTTTTGGTCTTCCCATCAGTGTGGCAAAGGCCTCAGAACCAAGGTTTGGTCAGAGTGAAGTCTAGGAGATTTCTTATCACTCAGCAGTGTGTCTGGAAGAGAAGAATATCCACCAAGTAAGTTTAGGGAACTCAGTCCTGAACTGCAAGGCTGACTTCTTTCTTATACTTCTTACTCCTGGGAACTCTGCTTTTCCTCTGTGCAGCAACTCTTGTTATAATAAAAAAACATCAAACTTTTTTTTTGAAAGTCAAATACTGAGTATTTTAAATACAACTGAGACATATTAATGCATTTCCCCAAATCCATCTAAAAATGATGTACTGAAAACCTACTATGTATCAGGCATTAAGTGAAAAAAACTCCTCTTTTCTTCTTATTGCCACAGATTAAATAGGTCCTCCTATAGGTTCACACCTGTATTCCCAGCACTTTGAGAGGCCGAGGAAGGAGAACTGCTTGAGTCTAGGAGTTCAAGACCAGCCTGGGCAACATAGTGAGATTCTGTCTCTTAAAAAAAAAAAAGCCAGGTGTGGTGGCATGTACCTGTAGAGATAGATAGATAGATAGATAGATAGATAGATAGATAGATAGATAGATAAATGGGTTCCCCTTTTGACACATCATTTCAACTATGACATGAAGCTTTATGCCTGGGATGGATGCCTGTGGGATTAACATGCACTGAAGCAAAGATGAAATTTTTCACATTGGGAAGAGACTAAGAATGAAGAAAAGAGTAAAGCATGACAACAAAAATAGTGAGGCCATGGGCCAGAGGTAATAGTTGCATCTCCAAGGATTCCCTTGAGTCATCAAAATCAGCAACTATCCAATTCTCATTACTGTATTTTCCAAATTTAGAATATTCTTTTAGTGCTTGTTGTTATACCTTTTTTATTCTGAAGACTTAGCCACAATCATTATGTTCTGAGTCACAATGCATGGAAAAGTGAACAGGGCAAGTTTCTAATAGAATTACCACTGATAAATTGAGAGCTAAACCATCACAATGACATAGTTGCCTCCATAGGCAAATAGTGTAGTCATAAATAAGGGTAATTGAGAACTGTAGCAAGGGAGAGAGGAAAACCACGAGGTGATGGTAAATAAATAACCTGGTCTACTTGGGGAACAGCCAGTAAATCAGCCTCTGCACCTTGCCTCCAGGCCAGTGATAGACTCAGTGTTTGGGGACAGGTCCTATTCTCCTGGCAAAGCCAGCCTCCAGCTTAACTGGAGAGGCAGGGATGACAAGCCATGGAATGGGAGGGAGAAACTGATCCACATAGAGGCTGCAGGAAAGGAATCATGTCACCTGGTCTGCTGAATTGTAAATAAGACACTCACTCCTAGGCTAGAAAATCAGTTGACAGTAGTTTCTTTACTGGTAACCTCTGAGTCCTCCTTTCTGTTTGATGAGTCTATTTTTCTTGGCCAGGATAGTATGAATCTCTGGCAAGGGTGAGCAGTGAGTTACTACATGCTAGGAACAACAGTTTACACCCTGTCAAGTCACATGGGACAGTTTGTGTGGGTGGCAGGGGGCAGGGAAGGGCCAAGGAAGGCCTAAGGGGTGTGCCCACCTACAGAGTGCTGGAACATGAGGAGGCTTGGAGCTGAGAAAAATACCTTCCAGTCTCCTCAGTTCATTTTCATTCAGATTGCACTCATCAGGAGTTCTGGTTAGAAATGGGAAATAAGAGAGGAGAAGAAAAATGAAGGAGGGCTGACAGGTACCAACGAATATAAAGGGAAATAAAATTTATTTCAAACTTATCAAGCTGCCTTGGTTCCTCAGCGCCCACTCTCTCTTTGTGTCCATGCTTGTCATGTAAATAACTCCTCACGTTTAGTCTCTCCAAGGTCTCCTTAAGAGGCATGTGTATCATATTCCTTTTTCATGGACTGCCTCTCACATGGTTTTCTCCCATAAGGGAATGTCAGTAGGGCTATAAAATTATTTTAATTTGATATACCTATACATTGTGTAATGATTACCACAAAATAGCATCCATGTCCACCTGTGCAACACTTTTGATACCAGAGTTTGTTCATGTTATAACTGAAAGTTTGTACAAGTTGGGCTTGGTGGCTCAGCCGGTAGTCCCGCGCTTTGGGAGGCTGAGGTGTGGACTGCCTGAGTCCACAGGTTTGAGACCCACCTGGGCAACTTGGCGAGACCTCGTCTCCACAATAAATCAAAAAATTAGCCGGGCGTGGTAGCATGTGCCTGTAGTTCCAGCTACTTGGAAGGCTGAGGCAGAAGGATTGCCGGAGCCCAGCAGGTTGAGGCTGCGGTGGCCGGGAGCGGCCATTGCACTCCAGTCTGGGCGATGGAGTGAGACTCCAACTCAAATAAAAAAAGAAAGTTTGTACACTTTAGCCGAAATCTTCCCATTCCTCACCCCCCAGCCTGGTAACCACCGTTTTACTCTCTGATTCTACAAATTCAACTGTTTTAGATTCCACATTTAAGTAGGATCATCTAGTATTTGTCTTTCTGTGTCTGGTTTACTTCACTTAGCATAATGTCCTCCAGGTTCACCCATGTTGTCACAAATGGCAGAATTTTTTTTATGGCTGAATAATATTCCAGTGTGGGTCTGTGTATGTGTAGATATATATGATCTTTTATTTATCTTTTTCTTTATTCATCCACTGATTGATATCTATGTTGTTTCTGTATTTTGGTTATTGTGAATAATACTGCAATGAAGATGGGGGTGCAGATATCACTTTGAGATAATGATTTTATTTCCTTTGGATAGCATGAAGAGGGATTTTTGGATTGTATCATAGTTCAGTTTTTTTTTCTTCAAAGAGCTTTTTACCCTTTCCATGGGGGCTTCTCTGAGAAATAAATAATGTATATTAAAGATATTAACAAGCATTTTACAAAATAAGGCATTTTTGGCAAAAAGCAATTGCCATTTTAAAGTAATCAATATCTGCTTCTGTGTTGCTGATCTTTTTAGCTTTTCTCTTGTCAGGGGGTTACAATTTTGTTAGAAACTTTAACTGCTAACAGCTGGGGGAGCTGGGAGAGGATGCCTGAATTAGGGCAGGTGTGTTTAGTAAAGAGCTAAGGTGTGTCTCTATCAGGGATAGAAACTCCAGTCAAGATATGTTAGAAGCTGTTTAAGGAGCGTTATGGTAGCCAGGTGATGCTCAGTTCTAATTACCCGCTGTTAGCTATTGGATGGGTGGGGAGTAGAAAATGATATTTATAGATGGCAGGTGTAAAAGAGTAAAAATAATTTCTTTCCAATAGTTAGCTTGTTCCCAAAGTGGCTAATGGGTATTTTTTTTAAAAATAAATCCTAAATTAAAGGAATCTAACTTTCTCACTAGTATTTTGTAGCACATGGGTTCAGGGAGACGGGGGGGGGGGGG